CCCCAATCTCTGCCTGTGTTGAACATGGCCTTCTCCCTCTGTGTCTCTTGTCTTATAAGGACATCAGTCATATTGTATTAGGACCCAGCCAATGACCTTATCATAACTTGATTACCTCTGCAAAGACCCTATTTCTAAATAAGGTCACATTTACAGATACTGGTGTTAGGACTCCAACATGTCATTTTGGGGAACACAATTCAATGCATAAAACACATTTTATTTTAACTTCCAAGGAATCAGCATACAGTCCCTGACCTTCCTCAAGGCCTCTCCTTTAGTTATGTGTCCACCCGTTTAGTTCCGAGTCACCTTTCTTGTGACACCCACACCGAGGGGACACCGTCTCCACCATCCAGCCTTGGACTCTTTGAGGGGGAGGGGGAGTTTAAAGGACCTTGCAAAATGGTTGACAAGTGGAGCTGTATAGACTTTGACAACCTCTTCCCACCCAATTACTTATATCTGTCTCACCCACACCTCACTTGACAGCTATTTTTTTGTCCAACTCAGATTATGTCTTTCAAACCATTCAGCTGAGTTTTCATAAGGAACGACGTCGCTCTTTGTTTGTGTACTTCTGATTCATCCACTAACATAGCACTTAATTAGGTTACAAACCAGTAATTGCAATGACAAGTTAACTGTCAGAAATGCATTAGGGAATAGAAGCAACTGATTGTGAGTGTAGCCTGGATGGAGCTGCAAAAAATGGAGGAGGTGCCGGCTGCCCCTCTGCTGGGCTCCCCTTGCAAAGGGAGGACTGGTGCTTTGGTCGGGCAGTTCGAGGAGGGACACTGACTGAGCCGTGCTTTCGGAGTGTAGAGGTGTCTAGACTGGGTGCGCCTCTGCATCCGAGCACCCAGGTGCTGGGCACAGCAGGGCTAGCCAGCCCGTTACTGAGCTCTGTGATAATAAAACTTTCTGTTCCCCCCCACCCCCCAGTTACTGATGCTCAGTCTATTCCCTCACTGGGTCCCCCACTGTCCACTCAGGGAGTCTCAAATCTTGAAAAACCAAGGACCAGCACACCCATTGGGGTGGCTGTTATCAAACACTTGGATCATAACAAGTTTTGACAGAAACGTGGAGAAACTGGAGTCCTCATATGTTGCTGTTGGGAATGTAAAATGGTGTGGCCCTAGCAGAGAAGTTTGGTGGTTCCTCGGGAAGCTGAACAGTTACAAGAGAATGGAAAGCGGGCATTCAAAGGAGTGAAGTTCTGATTCAGGCTCCCACAATGTGGTTGCACCTTGACAGCACTGTACTAAGTGAAAGAAGCCAGTCATGAAAGGACAAGTATTGTATGATTCCACTTTTATGAAATATTGAAAACAGGCAAATCTGCAGGGACAGAAAGCAGGTTTGTGGTGGCCAGAGGCTGGGGGAATGAGGAATGGGAGTGAGTGCTTAAGGTATGGTGTTTCCATGAGGAGACAAACAGGTTCTGGAAGTGGGTGGTAGTGAGTGCACTAGTGGCACTGAACTGTGCATTAGGACACGGTCGAGATGGCAAGTTCTGTGTTATGTGTATTTTGCCACAATTAAAAGAAAACAGTGACGCCAGCTGCAGTCCCCTCCAGGGGTACTGGGCGTAAGACAGGCTTGTTGCAGTTCTGGAGGTCTCTAGAGTCATCTCCAAATGGTGATCTCGGTGGTGTTTCCAACGTCCTGAGAGCTTTGAAAGATAATGCACGGCCCAGGCATCTCTTGCCTCCAAGCTGCAGGGTTTGGTGGGATGCAGAGGGTAGGGACTAGGAGGCAATGCTTAGAGATGGAGGAGGACTGGGGACGCTGGGAGGCGGGCAGCCTGTGGTCGCTCTGGAGGCTGGGCTGGGTTCAGAGAGGGATCCACCCGAGGCTCATGCTTTGTGGACACCAACTCCTACATCCAGCTTCGTATCTGTTTGTCCACAAACTGGGAAAACCAAGGAATTTCCCGAGGGAGGGCATTGGAGGGGGCAGCAGGGCAGGGAGGGGTGCCCTACAAAGAACTCCTGCTGCAGAGGGGTTGGACACAGTGCAGGTTAAGGGAGGCCAGCTGGGGTTGACATCCAGCCATGCCACTGCTGGGTGCTCTTGGGCAGCTCTCAACCTCTCTGGGCCTCACTTTCCCCATCTGTTAAGTGGGGATAATAGCACTTGCCTCATAGGGTGGTGTGAAGAGTAGATGAGGTCAACAAGTGAGGGGCTCGGCGGCGCTTGGTGCCCAGTAAGCACTCAATGAATGACAGTGTCGTTGTTGGTGAAATGCAGAAAGCACCCTCTTTATTTGGACCAAGGGTGGACTGTTGGGTTTGAAGTCAGGGCTGGATGAGATGATCCTGGGGCCAGTGGCACCCTCGCAGGACTGGGCAGTGTCTGGGTGGATGCAGAGAGACTCCCAGAGGCTTCTGGTGGCCTGGGCTGCACTATTTACAGTTAAGAAGTGGAGGGGCGGAGGGTGTTGGAGAGATAGGGAAGGAAGGCTGGGAGCCAGGGGGACATACACACCCTCATAGCTCCCACTCAGCTGGACTCAGCAGCTGGACACTGGTTGGGCCATCTCTGGGATGGTCCTATTTTCCCCTGGGACACATCCTCAATCAGACGGTCTGAAACACTGAGGCCTCCTTGTTACCCCCTCCCTTCACCCCCAGCTGCTTTATCAGTCCTGGTCTCCCCAAATTCAAGCCTAGTGACTTTAGTCAACTGAGGGGGTAAAAAGAGCCCTGGACTTGGAGCCAAAGGACTGTTGATCTCAGGTGGGTCTCCAGGCCTCAGTTTCCTCAGCTGTAAAATGGGCTAGTTCCTACCTCCATTGGCTAGTTGAGGGTTAGATAAATGTTTTAAAGGATTCGGTGGAATGCAAAGAGATCTACAAATGCCCACAATGAAAGAATTATTATCTGGATTCCAAAACCTCCCTCCCTTCCTAATAAGTGTTATCCCCAGATCTGACTCCCTCCCCAGTCCTGGTCCTACGGGTCTGACCCGGCAGCAGCAGGGGACTGAGGCGGCTGGAGGGGAAGCTGAGGATCCGCCCGACCCCCGCAGGATCCTATTGTCACATTCAGGGAGGCGGGGAGGGAGAGCCCAAAATGGAAAACCAACCCACACTGTGGTTTCCCTCCACTGCTGATCTGTGCCTAGGAGGGAGGGTCCCCAGGAGAAATGGACTCAGGGAGGGCAGTTTTGGGGGACTGTGGTCTTTGGCTTGGGAGAGGGGCCTGTACCACAGTGACCCCACCCTGCAGCTGCCCAGCCCCTCCCTGAAGTGTAGTGACCTGTGTGTCTATTGGCCCATAGAACCACCCCCACCCCCAAGGGACTTACCTCTCTTCCCACTCCACCCACAGGCCAAACCTCAGGGCAGAATGACCTTCAGAAATCCTGTTTGGGGCCTGCCTTCACCCTGGTCCCAGAGCCCAGAACACACACGGGCTGTGGAAGGGTTACACTCTGGGCACCTGCCCTGGCATAGGAGCTGCAGTTCTTTGGGGCCCAGATGTCCCCAGCTGTGCTTGAAGCAGCCCCTCTGCCCTTACAGTCTCTGGATGGGAGGGGTCCCAAGGCTCCTCTGGACCAGCCCCTGCCTGTGCAGGGACACCTGTAGCTCCTCTGATGACGGCAGCCTTGGAGGTGGCTCCCACGGCCTTCCAAGCGCTGAGCTCTGAGCTGAGCAGCTGGTGGCTGGCATTGGGGTGCTGCTCATCTGCCCCTCACACCAGGCCCAGGGCCGAGTGCACAGTAGGTGCTCAGAGGGAGCCCATCAACTGAAGCCACCAGGAGGCACAAGCAGGAAAGGGGGCACCGCCCCTGTCGCCCCCTCAAGGAACCTTATGTATGCAACCCCCTCAGAGTCCCCCAGCCCATCCGTGGGAGGCCCCACCCCCACATCCCGCGTTTCCCAGGAAAGCCTCCCTTTCTCACTTCTTCATGGAGTGGAACGCAGAGTTGAGGAAGATGCCTCCATGCGGCCATTCGAGACCCATCAGCCACTTACGGTCCCTCCTGCCAGCCAGGACTCTTTCTGGGGCTTCTCCACCCAGTTACTCTGAAAGCTGTTAGCCTGTGTCCCCTGGTCCCCTCCCCATGTCTTCCCCGTCTCTCTACTTAAGGAGACAGAGCTGGAGTTGGCAGAGCAGGGTCCCCTCATGGCCTCCAGGGACACCCGCAGCTCCTCCCTGGGCCAGACCCCCACCCACTGCACCTCCCTTCCCTGCAGGGAGCTCAGGGCTCTCGGTACCCGTCATCCTAGCCTGTGCTGGTGTCCGACACCACCCGCCCTGTGTGCACGTGTGGTCAGAGACCCCGCGGCAAGGCCCAGCTGCCCTGGCCCTGTGTGTGCTGCTGGGAGTTTCATTGTCCCTCCCTCCCCTTTGTCCCCCAGGACACAGCCCACACCGGCTTCCACCGCACGCGGCTGTGACTGGACGCTCTCTCTTGGCCTCCTTGTGGCCCAAGTGGCCATGGGAAGTGCAGGAGGATTAAGGACCCTGGTAGCAGCCTTCACCCCGACTGAAGGAGCTGGTAGATAAACATCCCTCGATCCTCGATGGGATGGTGGAGGCGTGTGTCCCACTCGGCTTCCCGAGTGTCCAGCAGGATTAAGTTCCAGCTGCCCAGAGGGGCGATGGCCTGTGTGCACTTACCCTTCCCGCCACCTTCCTTTCCTGGTCCCCACCCCCACCTGCTCCCTGTTTCCACCTGAGCTTCTCCCCTGGGGCTGGGACACTCCATCGCCACTCCATTGCCCAAGCTGTGCCCCTGCCCACGATGTCCTTTACCCACAGCCTGTCTCTCCCTACCACGCACCCCCTTACAAAAGCTGTCCTTATCACCTGGGCCAGCAGGACCCACCTAGTCCTCAACCAGCCCTCAGGGCTCACCTAGCACCCCATCCTTGATGGGTGTGTGTGTTTCCCAGACACACAGAGGCCCTGAACCCTCAAAGTGGCCTCCATTTCTCTGCAGACCCTTTCCACCCAGCTCCGGCACAGTGCAGAACTTCACAGATGCTGGTTGAAAAGATAAATATTATTATTATTTACATCAGCCACCCCCATCTCCCAGCCCTGCACCCCCAAAGCCCTGGCTGTCCAGTGAGGGCTGGGCCAGTCTATGCCTGGGGTGGATGCGATCAGCTGACCCAAGGGCCACTTGTGCTGCTCCAGGCGCTGGGGCCTGAGGGGCCTGCCCTTTCTCCTATCTTTGTGTAGCTAACAGTGCGTCCCCAGAGGACATCCAGGGCAACAAGCTCTCTGTGACCAGCAGAGGGGCTGCCCAGAGGCCAGGTCACTTCAGTCAGCAGGCTGGATGGTCCTCTGCATTCTCCGCCCCTTCACAGGGAGACCGGCTTTGGCTGGGGCACACCCCAGCCCCCATCTTCTCACAAAGGTGGAGACACCTGGGGCAGGAGGTTAGGGAGAGGGAGCTTGTGTGGCCGGCAGGGCAGTAAAAGTCCAAGGGTGCAGCGAGACAGGGCATTTCTGGTGGCAGCACCACAGGGCCAGATGACGTTCTGGTGGCGTGGGAGGATTTCTGGTCACGTAGCCTGATGTCTGATGATGCCACCGATTTCTAACGTCTCCAGGGCTCTGACAGCAAGCCTTGGTTCCCAGCGTTGTTGGAAGGCATTGCTAAGGCCCGGAGGCATTATCTCCGTGGTTGGGATGCTGTTCCAAGAGTTTCCCATGGTGCCCCTGGGGCAGCGAATACCCCCACAGTGCATTGGCCACCTTGTGCTCTGGGAGGACACCTCTTGGAGAGACCCCTGTGCTGCTTTGGATGGCCTGGCTCCCCATTCTCACTCCACTCGCCAGGGAGGACTGGGGGCCAGGGGGAGCCAGAGGCTCTGGGCCCAGCCGAGTCCTATAGCTTATTTTCCAATTGTCCCATGGCCCAGACTGTGGCTGCTCTCAGAGCCCAGAACTCCTGCTCAGCTGGGGGTCAGGGAGGGGCCTCCCAGGTCTCGGGGCCAGTATGGGGTGGGGAAGGAGCTGGTCCCCTCCAGACACGGCCTTCCAGCTCAGACCCCTGTGGACTGCTTGATGCTGTGAAAGCTGACACGGGTTGGGGAGGTGGGGATGGACATGGCGCGGGCCACCCGGGCGCGGATCGAGTGCTTGTCCTGCCATCGGTGCCACCTCTTCCGGATGGCAGAGCGGACCTGTGGGCATGGAGCAGACCATAACGTTCAAGCCCAGTCACAGGAGGGCCCTCCCTCCCTGAGGGCTGCCACAAGCCGCTGTAAGGCAAACAGCTCTGCAGGTGAGCAGTGCACAGGTGTGAGGTGCACAGGGGGCCACAGGAACATCGGGACTGTTTTCTCAGGTGTCCCGAGGAAGGAATGCCTTTTTCTAACCCACACAGTGTCTTTGCCATGAAGAACCCCTACCCTCAATCCACATGCATCCCCTGCCCGAGGGCTCAGCTTCCTGGCTTTCAACAACCCATTTCACAGACCCATTGATAAGGCTGAGGCCCCAGCTCTTCCCCCCTCCCAATGTCAACTGCCTAAGTGAGCAAAGGAGGAGGCTTGCCACGGCAGGAGCAGCGTGGGCAGGTGGCCCGGACCCTCCAGGGTATCCCTAAAGGAACCTGGGGGCAGGGAGGAGGGCCAGCATGTGGGGGGCAGAGGGAGGCTGCAGACCATCTCTCCTCCCAACAGGCCTCCTGCCATTCTGAACCCCAGCCCGGGGTCCTTACCTCGCTGTTGAGGAAACAGTAGAACACAGACACGAAGAAACCCTGGGGTGGAGGAGAAGGCGGGTCAAGGGACTGGGCTGAGTGGCCCCACTCAGTTTCCGGGCAGCCCCTTCCCTCCCCAGTGTCCTGCCCCTCCAGGCCCCTGTCTGGGAGAATGCCCACCCCTGGAGGTGTGGGGTGGAGGGTGGGGGGCAGGACCAAGAGGGGAAGGCGTTGGTACCTGGAAGGACTCCAGGAAGGAGTTGAAGTAGATGAAGACGACCCGGGAGACCTCGTCTTCCCCGGGGTTGACAAAGAACAGCATGTAGGTGATGCCCAGGAGGGGGAGCAGTACCAGAGTGGCCTTCACAGCCTTCCTGGTGGAGGGCGGGGAAGCCAGAGTCACAGCCCACCCCAAAGGGGGCCGGGGTGGGAGTCAGTCCCCAGTGTCTGAGATGGGGGGCTGGGGTTTCAGGAGGGACTGTCAGGCCTGGGGGAAGACCCTGGGTAAGGACTGGGATCTCTGGAGCCCCCAGGGGTGGGGGACACAGGACCACTTACCTGTACTGAATGGTCTCAGACGTGGTGGACGCCCGAAGTTTGGTCATGAGGATGCGGACGATGTTGAAAAGGAAGATAAAATTGATCTGCAAGTGAGCACACAGTGGGATGGTGTAGGCATGTGTGTGTGCAAGATGTTAGGGACTTAGCCATCTCAGGTCTGGTCTTGGTCCCCCCTGCTGCTCTCCCGCCACCTTCACTAGCACTCAAACATTCTAGGCAGAGGGATCCTTGGGGTCCACAGTCGGCTCTGATGGCCCCTCCCGACTGCCCCCCACCCAGGTTCTTACCAGCAGGACCAAGATCATGGGGCCCTGGTAGATGTAGTCGGTGTAAACCCCAGGCCTTTTGCCAAACCAGCACCTAGAAGATCACAGATAGGAGGTGAGAGGAGGGGCCATCCGGGTCCAGTTTGGTGGCATAGGGGAGGGGCATTGCTAGGCCAGGGCAGGACTGGGGCTGGAAACCAGGCTCTGGGTGCCCAAATTCCAACCCTGGCCAAAGGTCAAGCCACTTGATCCCACCACAGTGCTCAGTTATCCCGTCTGCAGCATGGTCGGCATCCTCTGTTATTAGATGTAAAGCTGGAAGCAGGCAGTGTGGCAGGGAGATCATGGAAAAGACGTCTGAATGGAGCAGGCATGGGCCCAACACACCACTGCCCCCTCAGTCCCCACTGTGTCTCCGGCACAAGCCCACTGGTGGTGCCTTGCCCTGCCCCTGTCACGTAGAGGCCCCCAACAGCTAGCAGTCTCCCAGTCTGCAGTGTGACCAGCCTCGAGGCAGAGCTTCCATAGATCCCACCGTCCCAGGAGGCAGATTTGCTTTGCATTTTCCTGAGCTCCCTCCAGCAAGCTCTAGGAAGGTCAGGGGAGTGAGGGGGACAGGGCGCACAGAAAATCCCACCTCCGTGCCTAGAGGAGGGTCCTGTGGGCATGCAGCCCCGCAGCGCCTAGATCTCATGATGCTTCCATAAACCAAAACTGAGATTTTTAGGTGGAAAATCTTGACTTTTTAAATTCAAAAAACATGGTGCAGACCAAACGTGACCTGTCTGGAGTCAACTCCAGTCCTTGGCCTTGAGTCTGGATTCCTCCTGCTGCAGTGGCAGCATCTTGCCACAAGGTGGGGCTCCAGAGTCACTCAGACCAACTTCTCCAGCTCAGGCATCCTTTTCCCTCTAGGATGCTTACTGGGCAGCTTTGGGGAAAAGTCCTTCCTCTTCTCCCCTGTGCTCACACCCACTCCTGCACACCTGCAGGCACAGGCCATCGCCCAGGGGTTACGATGCCCCTGCTCAGGGACTCTGGCCCACAGTGGTGTGGCAGTTACCCGCCTCCCGGAGTCAGGAAGGATCGCCCTGGTAAGTAATGAACAGAATTTTCTAGGCTCCTTGTCCATCCCAGTGAGGCTATGGTGGCTTCCCTACTCTACGATGGTGGGGAGACTTGTCACTGATGAAGGCCGCCTGGAACCCCAGTCAGACAGTGGGTTCCTGAAACCACTATCTCAGTGGTTCTCTTATCTCAGGTGCACAGTAGAATCACCTGGGCAGTTAAAAAACATCCCGGTGCCCAGGCCACACTCTGGACCAATTACATCCAAGCCTGGAGGTCAAGCCTGGGCATTGGTACTTTTTAAAGCTTCCTGGGTGACTCTAATGGGAGCCAAGGCTGAGAACCCTGAGTGGAAGCCTAGTTGTCAGGGGCAGCTGGGAACACCTGTATCCATTCACTAAGGCGCCTCAGGACTTCAGAGCTGGAAGGGGTCTCTGAGATGGTCTGGATCAGTTGCTATTAAGTCTTAAGATTAATAGAAAACATTTGTACGGCATATACTATGTGCCAAGTACAATCCTAAATGCTTACTATATATTAACTCATGTCATCCCCACCACACCCTGTGAGGGAGGCACTATTATTAAGATGCCCATTTTACAGACGAGGAAGCTGAGGCAAGCTGTAGTAAGTATAGCACCCAGGTCGTACAGTTACTTAGTGATGGAGCCACGATTCAGGCCCTGAACAGTCTGGCTCCACAGGCAGCCGGTAACCCTCCTGTGGTTCTGCCTGGGAGAGCCCAAGACAGAGCAAATTGCCTGGATCCGCCTGTCCAGCCCCCCTCAGGCAGAGCACCCCAGGGAGCCTCGGACTGAGCCCAGCCCCAAGCTCCCTCTCTTTATAGATGAAGAAACTGTGGCCCTGACAGGGAAGGTGACTGCTGAAGGCCCTGGAGGAGTGTCAGGCAGAGCTGGGCTGAGGGCCCCCGAGGCAGTGAAGGAAGGAGCTGACTTACTTCTCATTGTCGTAGTACAGCTTCCCAATGGCCCAGGCCACGATGATGGGGAAAGGCACACCTGGGGAAGAGAGCACAGTCACAGAGCCACTCGGCGGGGCCTGGAGGACCTCAGTGCATCCCAGGGCCTGGAGGCAGGCTGGGGTCCCCAGGGTAGAGCTGGGACCCACTCTTCCAACATACCTCCTTTAAATGCTCCCTCCCCTCCCCCCAGCTAGGGGCAGAGGGCTGTGGTGTACATTCTGTCACCCTAACCTGGCCCTGCAGCCAGCTGGCCTGGGTCTGGGTGAGGAGAGGGGAGCCTGGGATGGGC